GGCCATTGTGTAGCACTACTAGTTTTATTATTCCTGTGATCGCTGATATAAGACGGAATCTAAGTTTGAGGTGGTGGAACTAGTAAACCTGAAATTCTTTAGATTGCGATCATTATGATATGAAATATTCTGAATTTTTATGAGCTTAAGTTGATTTGTAAGGTAGTTTAAATTACAAATCATAGCATAAACACAAACACTTTTACAGGCGACTTTTGTAAGACTTGCCTTTTATTTTCAAAAGATCTTTAACATTTCTTACTAGCAGAGAGCCACTTGTAAGACTCGTAACTAGACACCATAAGTGTCTGATATGAACGTTTATTTTTTGTAACTAGTTGTCGAATTTAATAACGAATGGCCGATCGGCTTGTCTGGACTGTCAAAAGCATCTATTCGAATTCCTGTGAACCTTTTTTGTTGAAGGCGAACTACGATATCTTCTTAAATATTTGGCATAATATGGGGCAAGTTCTTACTGAGAGTTGTAACGGCTGGAAACAAGCTCTCAATTCGATGTGCTAATATTAGCGAATGTTTTGCCATCTTCTCGTTGTTTATGGCTGTTTCTCGTCTGTTTCACCGGCAATAGTGACTGAGGGTATCAGTTGATGTCATTCCAGTACCTCTGATAAAGAGGTCTAATTTCGAGTCCCGACGGTGGCAGGAATCTCGACACTAGCTAGGCAGACAGATCGAGTTCAACCGCTGACTGGAAGATAATTCTAGTGGCCGGCTGCTCTGATCGGTTGTTTTCAACACCAAGCGAATAGAGCAGCAGTACCCTAATAAACGGGTCACAGTTCGCGTGATCATCCCATTTCCCTTCCTCCTATCCTCACCTCCTTACTTACACACACATTTACATGCACTACACTGCCACGCATGCCGGGAGACCTGTCGGTAGCTTAAATCTTGTCCCGGCTGAGGCCGTGCCTTGCTGGAGGGACATACCTGTATAGGGTAAATCCTGGCAAGTCAACGTAGGTCGGCGCCGGATCTCGCCAGCCAGAGGGGAAAAATCAGCGCCATCTCATGCGATAAAAAGCATGCACTACACTTACGGGACTGATGACCTTAGCCGTTCACGCGCACGGAATCATTAATCAATGAACTAGTGGGCCATGTTACAACACTTGTATTGTCATATGGCACGTATGTGATATTACGACGCACATTTCAGTTTCCTTAAAGTTTGATCAAACCCAATAAATGTGGGTGTGCCTAAAGCTCGTTGTTCTCTTTGAAAAGCAAAGGTACTATGCGTATGAGTATGCATCATTTTTAATGAAGAATTTACTTTTAATCATTCGATGGATGCGTTGCTCACTATCGTAATAGAGAAATCTTGGTTCAGTTTCTGAAGAACATTAATCACAGGTACTATTCTGCGAAGGAGACGGAATTACCCGAAGACCACGGCTTCTGGGCGAAAGCGATTGGTTGGCAAAGACGTGATGAACAGGAAGTGAAGGGAATGTTTCCGTGTGGTGATCTTTCATGATGGACACCGAACTGTGAGAGCCTTTCTGATATTAATTTAAAATAGCTTTTTCATTGTAGGGACTATGGCTACTAGCCATCCGTTCTTGACAACAGCAGAAACATTTACAACTGTATTCACAATATCACAAAGATATATATTCAATTCGATCAGGCAGTCTGTTTGAATATTTCTGGATGAAGGAACCAGAAACAGTGTAGTCGTGAGATAAATCCTTACTCATCGTGAACTCTTCTCCAGACTACTAGAGTGAATCCGTCAAGATAATATTTTATTAATCAGTTTTTCTAAACAGTATGTAGAAAACGGATTTGCGGAGAATAACAAATAAAGTTAGCTATTCTAGTTGTAGGTATCAAAAACGTTGTTCGTAGATAACATTTGTATTAGGTACATATCGTATCACTCCCTAATAACTTTTGTACATATCGTATTACTCACTAATTTCGAACGAATATTTTTTATCACTAACTATCATGTTACATAAATGACAATTGCCATTCGTGGCAAAGAAGGTAAATATGTGCGCAATGAGCAGTGAGTGAAAACTCCCGCCTTTGCCGGGTGGTAGATAAAAATGTGTTGGGTGTGCGTTAAGGCGATCGGTGGTCGCTGGCTCTGGCGGCTGGCGGCGCCG